CACGCACATCAGGAACTAATTGCCAATTTGGCAAATGCATTGACTAATGTCATGCACTGTTATTTCTAAATCCTCTCCTGTCCTTGACCCCCAGTATCTAGATGTAAACTTGGAACCATTAGTGGAGAAGGATAAAGTCTTCTGGTGCCTCAAATGGAATTGAGAGGGATTTAAACTCAGTGCTTTTGAGTGTGGTGAAATGAACCCAGCAGTACATTAATGCTAGGATTTGAGCTCACACAGCATGAGCGCTTTCAAAAACCGTGTTTAAGGAAGCAAACAGAGCTATGACAGACCCTTTCAGTGGAGCAAAAGGAGTTGGATGAAACAATCAGTGACACATTAGAAACCACAACTGGGCTGCAATCATGTAGGCAGGAAAAGAAAGTTTCTCTTTATCGCAGGATCTTTGCATTTAATGAGATGGCGACTGGACAACCTCCAGAGGAGTAAGGCCTCCGTTTACTTTAGTTGAGAAATGTCTAAATATTTAGTTGATTCTCTTAAAAGCCCTACACGATTCTGTAGCAAACTGGTCTCTAACGGATGATCTTATCAGCTCTATTACCATTGGAACATCTATTTAAAGGGAATTTGAAAGAAGAAAAATCAGAAAATATTATTAAAAGTACAAATGTTAATTTTTGTCTCTGGAAGGTAACTATTTTGAATACCCTTCAGATACTTAGTTAGGACCAATATCTTTCCAGTGACTACTTTCTCTTAATTGGTTCTAAATTGAGAGAACCCTCAATGGGGCTCCCAGTTGGGCTCCCTCAAATTGTACTGGCTGAATTCAAAGTTTGGGGGTGCTTATGACTACTTTGAATGAAATAGAAAGAAATGGGACTCTCATCCAGAATGGTGTTCTCTGCTTCTTGTATATTCTTCATTTCTATTGGTTCTGATGGTGAAACCCACACTGTAAGGTTTGGCATAGCCACTGCCCAGTGCTTTAGTCTCCAAAGGGGAGTGTTGGCTCCTGAGTGCATTTTCGTGGGAGTGGTAGGGGGAGATAAGAAGGCTAAAAGAACTTTGTAAAAAGGTCTATAGGGGTTCACCATTGGAATGCCTAGTACTGTCTTCTATTAGCAGATTTTAGCCAAGACCAGCATTCAGTTTGCTCTAAGTTTCTGGGCTCTTCAGCACCACAACTCCTGTCCATTCCAGCTACAGCATCCATTGGGGCTTCACACTCTTCCCGACTTTCTGATAGCAGAATCCCGTCCAGCTTGCTTTTCTTTATTATAGCTTCCTGTGGAGTAGTATTAAGGCTCACCAAACTCTCTTCCCTCCCCCACAGCAGGAGGCCCTCGAAGCCCCGTCCTGCCAGCTTGATTAATGTGTCTTGGCTAATTGTGTGAAAGACGGCAGCCCTTTAGCAAGTGTGACCAGTTTATTGTTCAACCAATCACGGACGCCTCAGTTAGCATGTGAAAAGGGGGTGTGCTGCTGGAGGAGGGTGAGTGTTTTGGCGGCTGAGTCAAAGGAGGAGCATTTTGGGGGGTCACAGAGCAACACCCACTTCTTTGAGGGGATGTTACTATGCTCTACTAAACCTGTAAACCTCTTACTCAAAGCACTTTTTTCTCCTCCCTCTTTTTTCAAGACTTTTTTTTTTCCCATGGTGCAAGCAGGCAAGACACCGGGTACTCTGCAGATGGAGTTCACGTTCCAGGGTTTTTAATATTTCACTTTTATATTTCTGTTAGAGAATGATCCTGCTGAGAGTCTGGGAATCCATGCTCGTCAGAACCCCCTCACTGACACTTGGATATATTGCTCTGAAAGCTATCCCAGGAGAAAAGATTAAACAAAAAAAGCGCCTACTTTTCAAAGCCTACTTTTCAATCTGCCCACATCAAAATAAGACAACTGGCCCTTTGAAGTGGAGGACACAGAGTTCTCAGCCAGCTTGCTTAAAATGGGGAGTAGGGGAGACAGAAAGGGAGGAAGGAAGGAAGGAAAAGAAGGAGAGAAACAAAAAAGGAAGGAAAGGAGGGAGGGAAAGAGAGAGAGAAGGAAGGGAGAGGGAGGAAGGGAGCGAGGGAAGGTAGGAAGGAAGGAAGGGAGGGAGGGAAGTGAATGAAAGAAGGGAGGGAGAGAGGAAGGAAGGAAAGGAAGAGCAAGTTTCCAAAATTATACAACCCTCTTACCTTGTCCAGATTTAATCAGGGACTAGAATCTGAATTAATGGCTACAAAATTTACAACCCTGCTCCTCAAAGCTCCGAGAGCACAGTTAACTGTCAGAGAAACCTGTCTGGCTGGGTCAGCATCAGGAGACTTTTTAAAAGCTGTGCAAATGGAAACGTTGCTAAAGGTGTCCAGATGAGGCCTAGAATTGGTGGCATGAGTGTAGATGGACACTGATGGTTCCCTCAAGTTCCCGAGAATTGGACTCCCTCAAAATTGTACTGACCGATTTAAAGTCTGGGGGCTCCTAGGACTACTTAGAATGAAAAGAAAAGGAATGGGAAGCTCATTCAGAATGCTGCTGACACAGTGCTCATCTGGGACACTTTTCTGGCTCCCAGCTTGTCTTCTGCTCCCCTTAATAATTGGCGTTCAAGTGTGTAGAGGTGACGCAGCTCAGGGATAAGGATGGGTAGGGTGTGGCTCAAAAGGAACTTACTGACTCACGTAAAGAGATGTTCCTGAAACACAGATGTTGAAGACCCTTTTGAAACACAGTCCTTAAGATTGAGTTATTGATAGTACTGACCCCATGCACAAGATAGGCTGGACTTTTAAGAGTTCCAAATCCAGGTTTAGACATCTTGGCTAAGGCTAAGATTCCAACTCCCTTTGTTTTATAAGCTCAGCCTGGCCCACAGCTACAACTCCCCAAGTCATGGAAGCAGGGCTCACAAATGAGCACCCCAGCAACAAAGAGACCTGGTGACAGAGTGTGGATGAATGAATCCAAACCCAAACACCAGAGATCCGAGAGAGCACCCTCTCCCTCTGGGTAGTCCCAGTGCATGGCGCAGCACCTGGCAGATAGTAGGTGCTTGAAAATCTTTGACTTATTTGAATTAAATTGAAAACGTACAAGAAAAAGAATCGATTATGAGCCCCATGGATTTGGGCCTGGAGAATTTTCTTCTAACATTAAAAAATTGCATGTTGTTTTGAAACAACAGAAAATTGAAAAAAATGCAACATATTTTCTCTGTTTTGTTGGAAACTAGTTATCTTATTAAGCACACAATCTGGCAGGGAAGCACTTTGGCCAGGTTTCTATGATTATTGCTCTCACCAAGACATTTTGTATTAAGGATCGCTGTTGTTTGCCTGGACCAACTTGAAACCAAATGTCTGAAGTTTGGGGGAGCAGCATATGCCCACCACAGTAGCTTTGTGTTGGCATCATCCAAATTGTTTCCTATAATCCATCTGTGACTCTACACTTCTGCTGGCATCCTCAGTTAGGAAGCTGAGGGAAAAGAGAACAGAGTGGACAGGGAGAAGTGCAGGCAGGGTAGGAAAAGGTGAGACCCAAGTTTTCCTGGAAACCATGGCAACTGGAGATAGGAGCAATTTGCAGGCTGGACCATGGCTCTACAAGAAGCTTGTTCTTTTTTCTCTGTCTCACACCAATGGTAACAGGTGCTATTCCAAGCCCTGTGACCAGAGAGTGGCATTGTTCTCAGATGCTAAACTCTAGCAAAATGGTTAGAAATCATAAACCATTTGCAAATGATCTTAAGGCCTTTTAGCAATGGATATGGCCATTCACAAAGCAGCTGAAAGGACTTTACAGTTAGTCTTTAGCTTGCTGTAGGGCTTCCATAATCCTTATGGTTCAAGATGCCTAATCCCTATGGATAGCTGTTTGAAAAAAAGTATTGGATGCTGAAGAAAAGAAGAAAAAAAGTCCCTAGCTCCCTATGTCTTCTATCGTCTTCTTTAATCACATTTAAACTCTAGCTACAATTTCTTGCTCTCATGAAACCCTTTTAGGATAATATCATTCTAAATTTAGTAAGGACAACAGGCTGGGTGTGGAAGCTGAAGCAGGTGGATCACCCGAGGTCAGGAGTTCGAGACTAGCCTGGCTGACATAGTGAAACCCCATCTCTACTAAAAATACAAAAAATTAGTTGGGCATAGTGGCAGGTGCTCGCAGGGCTGAGGCAGAAGAATTGCTTGAATCCAGGAGGCAGAGGCTGCAGTGAGTCAAGATCCCGCAGAAAATCTAGTTTGGAGCATATCCACCCTAATCTTGTCCTTATCTGTACCTATCTACCTTCCCTTTCATCCTGCCAGTGAGAGCTCAGCTTTGGCATAGTCTTTATTTGTTTCTCCAGCTTCTAATGTGATCCTTCATTCTGCAGTTCAGTGTCTGTCTCCTCCCTTCTGTCTCAACCTCCTTGAGGTGAGTAACCTGATTCCTCTGATGTGGCCTTGGGACAACTTCTCAAAGAATTCCCCCATGGATGACTTCTAAATTCATCCCAGAAGCCAGTCTTGAAAGACCAAATGTGTGAGAGAAAATGACCAAGTATCAGGTTTAGAGGCAATGAATGAACCCTTAGTAAATATAACCTAGAGACAGCTTACCTGGCATGTCCTAGGCCTAATGAGCCTCTACCTCTATTCTGTTGTATTAGCTTTCTTTTTAAATGTATGAAATTCAACAATCTAATCAATAAACTTATGACAATCAGGGGCACAAAGGTGAGCCATCTTTTGAGTTGTTCTTTTGAGCCGTTGGGTATTTGACAATGGATGTGGAATCTGCAGTAATAGTCATTTCAAATTCTATTCCGTTTGCTGCTTGTGTTTTATAGAGCTGGGGGACTGCTCTAACATCAACTACTATTTCAGTGTCTTCCTCAAACAAAGATTAATCAGGGTATATACTATACGAATGCAGAAATTCAAGACCCATCTGTTCTGCGAGGTTCATAATATAAGAACACCCTGTTAACATGGCCAGTGCTCTCCTTAACACTACTAATTCTCAGAGCCTTCAGAAGCTCAGATCAATATTACCTGGATTGTAGTTGGGTAGCTTGGAGACTCCCGGCCAAGTGTCCTCTGTAGGGACTCCCAACACCTATATAGAGCCAAACGAAGAAAAAGAAAGGTGAGGGGGAGACGGGGATGGAGGAGGTATGGAGACATGCAGGACAGATCAGGGAAGAACAGGGAAGAGTCAGATATCTGTCCCATTGCACAAGACCAGCTGATGTATATGAGAAAGAAACTTTAGTGTTTCCAACATTTGTGGTTTCTTGGACAAAACTTTAATACATTTCTATGGTCCCAGGCCTGCCTTCTTACTGACTCACTTGTTCTGAGGCAGATCCTACAGCCTTGCTTAAAGTCATGTTCTCATTACTAAACATTTGCTGCATGATCATCATTCATTAGGACACCATGTTGGGAGTCAGGAATATAAAGAAGCAGAAGTGACGGTCTCTTTGCCTTATATTAGATGACCATATGCATATTGACAGGAGACACTTGGCAGCTTAAATTATGCCTCAGTGTGGGTATTCAGCTGTTCCCTGATGTGCTCAAATTAAAAAGGATTCAGATTACTGACCTTCAGGCAATGGAATGTTGGCTAAAGGTGACCCCAAAACTAACTCTAGTCCTTTCTATCACATTCATCTCATCTGCTTGTTTTCTTGTGACCAGCAGCTTGGAATATGGTATTTGGTTTCTCACTGATGGATTGTCATGGGAAGAACATCACTTGAAAAAGAGCTGTCCCTATGCTTGGATTACCAATTTAAAGCTCTAGTTTTTAGTTAAGATTTATGAAAATAAAGTCTTTTGGAGTACAAAGCCAAAACAGCTTAGACTTTGGATGGAGCTATCACCATGAGTTCCCCTGTAGGCATTACCTTACTATTCTTTTAAAATAATCATAAAAGTCCATAGGCAGTTATATATGGGAGCCAGAGTAACATTGCTTTTGTAAAATATTAGTAAAACACTAGTAGTTTTCATTATACTACTATATCTTTTCTTAGAAGCATATCTCACTATAACTCTTTTTAGAAACACCTCTTACAGAAAGAGCCTAGCAAATCCATCTGTAAAATGCTGGTTATAGATACTGGTGCAATTATTATGGGAGGAAGTCAACTGCCCAACAACGACTGAATATAATCAATGAAGAATTCAGACTCTTAATATCTATCAGCTTGTTGACTAGGACTCTGGCTGAGAGGTATACTTTTTGGAGTCTGTAAAGCTTGTCTTCAAACAAAAGACACTGAAGTGCTATTTTCCCTCATATAATTAAAAAATCATGCCACCCAGTAAAATCTTCCTTCTTTGATCCATTCCCTAAACAAACTGAAAAGCGACAGAGAGGATTATAGGCTTTTCCTATCAACCACTCTGAGCCCGAGGGAACACTAAGAATCCCGGAATCCATTTTGAAAAACCAACTGGACTAATTCTTCTTTTGTGGGAGAGGGCCAGGGGATGGGAAGCTAATTCTTCTTTTTTAACCTACTGTCTTATGTATTTGCACAGATGCATGTGTAAACAAGTGGGTGTGAGTCACATGTACTTATACATCCTTCATTGGCTGGCAAAGTGCAATGAAAAGAAAGCAAAGATAATGAAGAGAAAACAATACAGGAAATACATAACAACCACTATCATGTTTTCTCTAAGGTGAAAGTTACCAGACTGTTGGTTACTTTGTGTGATGTTTAAAGCCAACAAAATGGATACTAAAAAAAAAATTTTTAATCTTATATTCAAAGCTTGAAGTTTGAGATTTTAAAAGTTTAAACAAAAATTCAACATACTTTATTTGGAAATTTGATCTCAGTTTCTGTTTGAAAGTTATTGAATTCTTTTTCACTTGAGAAAATTACTAAATCTCTCCTTCACTGTCTGGGAAACTGAAAACCAAAAATTGTTGTTTCACTCCCTCCCTGAAGGCTCTTAAGAGGCAGCCAGTGAGTGCTATGTTTCAAACCACAGTGGTCTGAAGGGGCTGTTTATCTGCCTTTGTTGGAATGGAAACTAAAAGCATTTTGATTAATGGATTCAAAGTTTGCATAGTTTATTCTGATTTTAGAACTAAATCCAGGATTTTTTTTTGTGTGTGAAAAACACTTATTGAAAGAATTAGTTTTTAAAATTGATCAGAAAGTGGTGACAGTTATTATTGAAGTAAATACACACACACAAAGGCATTTCAGAAAAAAAGTAAAATAAAGATTCAGGAATTCTCAATGTGTTTTTATTCCTAAGAGTGAGATCTCAGGATAAATAGAACAAATTATGGTTAGAGGTTGGGAGATTTAGAATGGACCCATTGCTTTCAAAGATGCACTTCCAACAACAAATATTGCGGATTCTGAAGTAGCTTTCCTATATTCATCTGTGTAGGCTATGTTTAGTAAAACACAAATTCAGGAACTATTCATAATCTGTTTAATTTTCTAACCTGCTTACAGGAAACAAATGTGAAAATAGACAAATGGGAATAAATCAAAGTAAAAAGTGTCTTCACAGCAAAGGAAACAATCAACAGAATGAAGAGGCAACCTATGATTGAAGAAAATATTTGCATGCCATACATTTGAGAAGGGGTTAATATCAAAAATATATAAGGAACTCAATAGCAAGAAAACAACCCCATTAAAAAGTAGGCAAAGGCTTTGTCATGGTTTAAATGTTTGTGTTCTCTTCAAAAGTCATGTTGAAACTTTATCCCCAATGCAACAGTAGTAAGAGGTGGGGCCTTCAGCGGGAGATTAGGACACAAGGACAGAGATTAATGCCCTTATAAAGGAGCTGGGGAGAATTGGCCAGGCCCTTTTGCTCTTCTGCCCTTCCACCATGTAAGAACACAGCATGCATCAGCCCTCTGGAGCATACAGCGACAAGGCACTATCTTGGAGACCAGGTCTTTCACTGGACATTGAGCCCGTCACCTGTCAGTGCCTTGATCTTGGACTTTCCAGTCTCTAGAACAGTGAAAAATAAATTTCTGGGGTTTTTGTCTGTTTATTTTTTTGAGATGGAGTCTTGCTGTGTTGCTCAGACTGGAGTGCAGTGGCAAGATCTTGGCTCACTGCAACCTCCGCCTCCTGGGTTCAAGCAATTCTCCTGTCTCAGCCTCCCGAGTAGCTGGGACTACAGGCACATGCCACCACACTCGGCTAATTTTTGCATTTTTAGTAGAGACAGGATTTCACCATATTGGTCAGACTGGTTTAGAATTCCTGACCTCAAGTGATCCACCTGCCTCAGCCTCCCGAAGTGCTGGGATTACAGGCATGATCCATGATGGCTGGCCAATTTCTGTTCTTTATAAAATATCCACCTTAAGGTATTTTGTTACAGTAGCGGGAATGACCTAAGCACCTCTGTATACATTTCTTAAAAGAAGACCTACAAATGGCCAAGAGGTATATGAAAAAATGCTCAATGTCATTAATCATCAGACAAATGCAGGTGAGGGCCATGGTGAGATATCACCTCACAACTATTATAAAAAAGACGAAAGAGGTGTTGGCAAGAATGTGGAGAAAAGGGTACATGTGCATACTGATGGTGAGCAAGTAAATTACTACAGCCATTATGGAAGACGGTATGGAGGTTCCTCAAAAAATTAAAACTGGAACTACCATATGATCCAGCAATCCCAACATGGGACATGTATCCAAAGAAATGAAATTAGTATGTTATCTACAGACCCATGTTCATTGGATACAGTTTTGTTATTGCATCTGTAGTTTCTTGCTCTGTGGACAAAACGAGAAAGTCATCAAGTTCAGCAGCTGTGTTGTCATTTACACCCCTATATCTCAAGCAGGTTAGAAAATTATTATTTTTTCTCTTTCTAGTACAGTGTCTGGCCCATTATGAGTCCTAAAGAGTCATCAGGACTTGAGAAGGATCTTGCTCACTTTATTCAATAATTTCTAAGTGCTGGGCTAACTGCACACTAAAGAACCGTAAAATAATTCCTTTTTAAATTTTGTCATCATTCAAAGATAGTATGTCATATTTTAAAATTTTATTTTAAATTTGTATTTATTATCATTATTAGAGATGGGGGTCTCACTACGTTGCTCAAACTTCTGGGATCAAAGGATCCTCCTGCCTCAGTCTCCCAAGCAGTAGGGACTATAGGCACATACGACTATGCCTAACTGTATGTTGTATTTTAAAAATCAGTTTATAAGGCTGGGTGCGGTGGCTCACACCTGTAATCCCAGCACTTTGGGAGGCTGAGGTGGGCTGATCATGAGGTCAGGAGATTGAAACCAGCCTGACCAACATGGTGAAACCCCATCTCTGCTAAAAATACAAAGTTAGCCGGGCATGGTGGTGCATGCCTGTAATCCCAGCTATTTGGGAGGCTGAAGTAGGAGAATCGCTTGAACCCAGGAGGCAGAGGATGCAGTGAGACAAGATCGTGCCATTGTACTCCAGCCTGGGCAACAAGAGTGAAACTCTGTCTTAAGAAAAATGGAGCCGCACATACACACAGTCACACACACACACACACAAAGGCACCTTGGCACTTTAGGAACTTGGTGTGGATAAGCATGATAAACGGTACACTTCTCTCATACTAAGAGGGAAAGCCTCTGTTCTGTCAGGGTTCTATGAAAATTTTGTGTCTTTTTTTTTTTGAAACATTATGTTTCTCTGTTGCCCAGCCTGGAGTACAGTGGCACAGTCACAGCTACCAGCAGACTTGGCCTCCCTGGGCTCAAGCAATCCTCCCATCTCAGCCTCCTGAGTAGCTGGGACTAAGGTGTGCACCACACAGCCCACTCATTTTTGATGTTTTTGTAGAGATGGAGTTTCGCCATGTTGCCCAGGCTGGTCTCAAACTCCTGGGCTCAAGCAATCCCAAAGTACTGGGATTACAGGCATGAGCCACTGCATCCAGTTAAAAATTTTGTGTTTTATTTTCAGTTGACAAAGATCCAGGGCCAAATATATGGTAGCATTAGAACTGGAGGTAGGGGCGTGTCTGAGTAGTAATGGCAGAAATTGCCCTGGGAGGTTAAGATAATAATAACGAGGGTAAGCAGGAGACCTGAATGTCATTCAGTGAGCTGGATTCATGGGCTACTATGGGACAACAGGGAGTTTCCTGACCAAGGATTCCCAGGGTGCTTATGCCTGTGGCAATTGCGACAGTTTCTACATTTGTCATATATGGCTTAATATCTCAAAGCAGATAAACTGCTTCATTTGTCTGCAAGGCAACTTTGGTTCAAAACTTAAAATGCAGATATTTCATTTTCTTTAAAAGAATTCTTCTCTTACCTCCCAGATCTTCTCCAGCTGTTCAAGGATGTTGGAAACTCCAGGAAACAAAGGTTGACCCTGGAACATTTCAATAAAGATGCAGCCTGCACCCCTAGCAAAGGAAACAAGAGTAAACCGACACTTTCAAAGAAATCATACAAGTGAAACTGAACTACTAGAATTTCTCCTCCCAAGACATATTTTTAGGGAGGGTTAAATAGGGACCACATGATATTAAAAGTCTTGGGCCAAAAAAAAGTCCCTATGTCAAACAAAAATAAGAACAGCTTACAGCTTTTTGTTAAAATGGAACCTAATGAGCAGCAGTTAGGAAAGCAGTATAGTTAGCAAACATTGTAGATCATTCAAGCTCATTAGTCATCTATTTTAGGAGAAGAAGGGAAAGTACTGTATCCTCAAATTTCATTTCATCCCTACTTTTCATTAAGTCTAAGATGCTATCATTGTAAGAAGCATCATTAATTTTTTGCTATTAAGAAAAAAAAGCAAGTTAAACTGTGACATGATCAGAATGTTAATTTTATACTTATTGAAATGGCTGTTATACATTTAATTAAATATAGATTATTTTCTCATATAGCATGCTTGCATATGAAAAAAAAGAAACATCAAGCAAAATAAATTGGTTTAGGTATTCCTAAAACTTTTTCACATTCAGCATTTGACTCAGACTCTTTGATGTCTACATTTACCCATGTATCATCCTCTATATTAAGCATTTGATGATGCAGCATTTCTTAAAATAATCCAAAAAATAACTGAGTCATTGGTCCTGGGCTCCTAAGCTGGACTTGTTGTTATGTAGTGTTAGCTTACTTTTGACTCCTGCTTAAAGAATGTTGCTAAACATGTCTGATTCATTCCTTCTCCACAACCATTTATTTGGTTCCTAGGAGTTTTAAAAAAAAAAGCATTTTTGTTTGCAGAGTTTTCTTCCAAGTCACTTACCGCCATTCTGCAAGTTGGTTGGTTGGTTTGTTTAGGTGGAGTCTTACTCTGTTGCCCAGGCTGGAGTGCAGTGGTGTAATCTCGGCTCACGGCAACCTTCATCTCCCAGGTTTAAGCAATTCTCCTGCCTCAGCCTACCAAGTAGCTGCCATTACAGGCACCTACCACTGTGCCTAGCTAATTTTTGTATTTTTAGTAGAAATGGGGTTTCACCATCTTGGCCAGACTGGTCTTGAACTCTTGACCTCAAGCAATCCACCCACCGAGGCCTCCCAAAGTGCTGGAATTACAGGTGTGTAATTCCACCATGACTGGCTGTTCTGTAAATTTTGATGCTGGCTCATTTGATGTTCACACATGTGCAATTCTAACTACTCTCACAACTGTAGCCTGACTGACTTCTACTGTTAGATGCTACTGATTATGAGGTGCATCCTAATTTAACAGGAAATATTAATCTTTAAATAGATTAAACAGTGAAATGTAAATTCTCTTTCATACGTTGTCAAACTGAAGGATAATTACAGAGGGACAGGAAGGAATCAAGGTTTATTTTGCTAATAATACATATTTTTATTCTCATAAGTCTTCTGTGTTAAGAGTGGTTTAGGTGACTGATTACAGAGACTATCCCCATGGTCCCATACTTCTCTCTCTCTCTTTTTTTCTTACTGCAAACCTCTTTCACTATACCACATAATTTTGCAAACTCCCTTAATCATTTTGCCATTTTTGTGTGGCATGATAGAGAAGGAAATTTAAGTAAAACATTTCATCATAGATAACAATATAATTAAAAAATTATCATAAAGTTTATTTTAAAATATGGTTTTAATATTATTTATATGTTTATTACATATGATATGTGTTTATTACATATTTTTACTTTTTCCATCTGACTGCAGATATATGCTCTTTTTTTTTTTTTTTTTTTTTTAAATACAGATGGGGTTTCGCCATATTGCCCAGGCTGGTCTCAAAATTCTGGGCTCAAGCAGTCCACCTTCCTAGGCCTCCCCAAATGCTAGGATTACAGATGTGAGCCACTGTGCCTGGCCTGACATACACTGTTTAGATTACTTTTCATTGATTATGTAGGAGAAAGCAGATTTCTTGACAATCAAGTTTAAAATTGCTTTGTGTCTGGTTTGGGAACAGAATACATATTAAAACAAAGATTGAAATTACTTTGTATCTAATCATGTAAAAATAGACAAAAACTCTTTTCATAATCTAATATTTGGTTTTAACCTAACTGACTGGCTTGTTCTTAGAGTTTGGTTTAAAAAACTGTTATCAGACTGAGCTTTGCAAAGAGGTTTTTCCTCCACCAAACAACAGGTTGTTTTTATTACCTTTTTAAAAAATTATTTTTATTTTTTTGAGACAAGGTCTCACTTTCACCCAGGCCAGAGTATTGTGGCACGATCTCGGCTCACTGAAACCTCCACCCCCCAGGTTCAAGCAATTTTCCTGCCTCAGCCTCTGAGTAACTGGGATTACATCAGTTACTGGGATTATAGACATGTACCACCATGCCTGGCTAATTTTTGCATTATTAGTAGAGACAGGGCTTCAGCACATTGGCCAGGCTGGTCTCAAACTCCTGGCCTCAAGTGATCCACCTGCCTCAGCCTCCCAAAGTGCTGGGGGTTATAGGAGTGAGCCACCACACCTGGCCTTATTGCCGATTTTTAAAAAGTCAATTTGGATATAACAGCCCCATTTTATTCTTTTTCTTTTTTCTTTTCTAATATTATTTATAGAGATGGGATCTCACTATGTTGCCCAAGCTGATCTTGAACTCCTGGGCTAAAGTAATCATTCTGTCTTGGCCTCCCAAAGTTCTGGGATTACAGGTGTGTGCCACCACGTGCCTGGACTATTTTTTCCTTTCCACTGATTTTTGCTGTATGAGAAACATCTTGATATGTGCTACAAGAACTGAGAAACTGAGTCAGTGGACACCACCAAATGGTTTCCACCTGCCCCTGTGACTTCTCCACATGCCCTTCTTGAAAGGCCTCAGACCATTTTGTCTTGAAGTGAAAATAAATACGTGTCTGTGTATATAAAACATATACATAATCAGCTTATTACTTGGTTATAAAATAGAAGTGGAATTGTATTGGCTTTTAAAAACATGAACTAACCCTCTATCCAGTTCCCAAACACCTCCCAGAAACCCCAGAAACTCACAAACCACTAGAAGGATTGAAAGCATTTTAAACAAGGCTCAGAAAATGCCATTCCTAGGTTTAAACCTGTAGTTCATTTTCTTTTCTCCTGCAAAAGGCTTCCGTTGCCTAGAAGCAGCTTGTTGCCTCTTCATGGTGTCTTTTCATACTTAGGGCTGTAGGGAACCAACTGTTGCACTATTCTTTAGAGCCCTTTATCTTCTATGCCACTAAAACGGCATGCAAAGTTATGTAAAATACATTGGCAAAAATTAGAGCATTCAGGCCATTATGTAAGTACTATGAAGTAACACAAGAGATTTGTGTTCCAGAGATAAAAGCTAATATTTGGTTATATGGTTGAAATTCTTCATCTGCATTTTGGGGAAGGTTGAAACCATCCTTATCTAATAAATCAAAGGTTACTCGTTTATACACACACCCACATACACACACCCACACACACACTATATATATATATATATATGATAAAAGCAGAATATATATATATGTGTGTGTGTATGTATGTATATATATATATATATATATATATATATACAGTGTGTGTGTGTGTGTGTGTGCGTGCGTGTATGCATTTGTGCATGTCTTTAGAACACTTACAAGACAGACAAAATTCTTAAATCAATTTTAGTACCTGGACTATCCCTAGGCACTGTAAATATCAGTGCACTGATAACAAAATAAGTCCACACCATTTGAAAAGTGACAGATCTGTTCTAAGTATAAGCATTGTTCTTTAAAAACTATGCAGTTTATCTTATTTTTTCATTTCTGTTCAGAACTGTTTTTTAAAAATTTGCTTCTTACCCTTAAGAATACAGGTCATATGGCTATTATCTGTTTTGCCCACCCTAGACTAGTCTTAAAGCAAACATTTTAAATATTCTGAACATTCAGGTCCAGATGGGGAACCAGTTTCTATCTCCTTTTATTTTTCTGTTTTGTTCTTAAATCTTCATTCCTGGGGCTCTTCTTACCCTACATATCTTTAAGCTTCTTGAGGATTGCTGCTCTGTGGAGATACCCTTGGGGCAGCCCGTTAGATGAAGGGAACTTCAGAGGAAAGACCCGGTGACATCAAACATTAAATCCTTCCAGAAGGGAGAGATGCGCTGGGTCATTTTATTGTTCCAACTGTGGTTCTTCAGTCAAGTTACAGGAAACTGCTTACATGTTTTCCCCTTTTTCTGGTTCTCTTCCTACCTTTTCTCTATTCTGAGCATGAACAAATTCTTCCGTAAGAGGGGAAAAGATTCCTTAGATTCCTTAGGCAATCCCTGGAGAAAAAAAATACCATCTCAGGAGTTTTAGGCTTTTTGGAGGTACAAGGAGCATATCAAAATGTTGTTGGGAGAAATGAATCAGTATTTCATTTTTTACTTGAAGTTAATCCAGAACAGCGTAATATATGGCAGTGACATGACATTCTCACTTGCTTTTCTCTATACCACTCTTTTTATATTTGGAAGTTTGCAGTGAGAAATGTGACAGTAAAGGATCTGTTAGGCAGAGACAACTTTCTTTAGTCCTAAAACCAGCAGCTGCCTGAAACTCATACTGAATAGAGGACCTTGTGTACTGAAATAAACGCCTCTTGAAAACTCAGTGTCCTACGACATGGATGAACCTTGAAAACGTTACGCTAAGCAAAACAAGCTGGACACAGAGGTATTGTATAATTCCACTTACATCAGGTCCTAAGAATAGTCAAATTTGTAAAGATAAAAAGCAGAATAGTGGTTACCAGGGCTAAGGAGGGTGGGGGGTAATGGGAAATTCTTGTTTGATAGTTGCAGAGTTTGAGTTTGGGATGTCGAAAAGTTCTGCAGATGGACAGTGGTGATGGGGACACAACAGTGTGAATATACTGAATGTCACTGAATGATAAACCTGAAAGTCGCTATAAATGGTAAATTTTATGTGTGTTTTAACACAATACAAAAAA